GTTATTCATTTTAGGTGCTGGCCTTCTCCGGTCTTACTCCAGTCGCGCCGGGCAGGCCACCTCTGAGGCCGAATGATGGATGCCTTTTCGTATTCGCGATGCATTTTTTCTCACAAAAAATAATTTGATTGATTGTATTTGAATACTATTTCGAAAAAAACCTAGGCTTATATAAAGCGATCAACCCACTGTCTCTCTCGGCTTCACGGCTTTTTCCTACGTTTACCCGCATTGCATGGTTACATCTGGATTCGATGTTTTCTTCTGGCTCGACGTGGTGCGAGCATGCTTTGCGGCATGTGGGAGACCTGTACATCGTTAATTTAATAACTTAATAAAAAGTTGCATTTCCAGAGAAAGCAAATTTATGTAGGAGCAAAGATTGGCCCAAACAGGTTAATGGCGTTCCCGACATGTCCTATTTACAGGGACTGTTACATTACCCCTCAGGTTACCGCAATTGTAAACTCGCTTGTTCGCAAGTAAGCATACTTACAATTTCTTTATAGGTATGAATACGGAATTGGAATGGCTTTTTCCAATGACTAACGTACTTCCACTTGATCTTAAAATATTAAAACTAATTAATTGATGGTCAAACAGCGGCGATGATCGGAGTGCGCTGTGGTTCATGACGTCACTGATCTTTATTGGTTGGAGGCATTAGTACAGGTATGGTCATCGTACGGCGGATTCCAACCGCGCTCTTCTAAGTCGTTGAGGGGGTTATCAGCATGGCGTTTCATTGAGATATAGTAACGGCCCACCACCCTTTAGACCATCGCGAATACATTGCCCTTATGGTGGTGACTTGGGTTTTTGCTCAAATCGAGGTGTTGGAAAGGTGAACTCTAGGACAGCGCAGCTACGGATGATCATGAGTGTGCTTAGACTTCCCAGCCATCCTGAAGGTGCCTATTTATCTGTATATATATAGATAGAACAGTGGATGAAACTTGAGGCAAGCGGGATCAGGCAGCTAGAGAAGCCTTGCCCGGTGCCGCAACGGCTTGTTATGTGAGAGTAGCTGCACCACTGCAGCATTCCACTTGGAAGACCCCGGTCCTGTTCGGATTTCATCCAGGGCCGCCTTGCGTCAATCAGGGACGCCCACCTCTTGGAAGTGATGCTTGGTTTGGTATAACGTGTGAAATCCGCTGTGCCTGATGCCGTGATCACGATAGAACGCTCAACCTGACATATCAGAAATTTGTTTGTGAGTGCTTCTTTCCCAAGCCCGTCTCTTCATTTAGTGGGAGAGGATTGGTGTTCATGCTTCGTCGACGTTTTTTTTTCTCAGGTTTTTTCCCTTCGTTTCATTCGCATCGCTAACTCAGTTTCAATCGCCATAATACCCCCTCACTGAGCGACTTTCTGCCTTTAACCTGAATGATGAGACATTACCTTTTGGTGCCATCTCTTAGTCTTTATTTGAATTCATTTTATTTTCGATATTGCTACAGGGTGGCGCCAAATTATGCGGAGCCGACTTCAGTCGCTAGGATGAGCAGGCTTACATTCTTTTGAAAACAAAATGCAGTGACGCTGCACAGTCATTTGAATCGTCGACGCCATGCTGTGAGATTCCTGCTAATCCCCTGGTTTGTAGTTTATACGGTCCTCGAACATCGAGGAGCCATCGACTGTGGCACGCATGTGGTTGAGTAGGGACTCGGTCAAGCCTCATTTTAGAGCGGTATTTTCAACGGAATCTGCCATAATGTGTTTTATGAGCCTCAGTTCGTAGACCACACAATGGATCCGAAGCTGTCCTATCGGCTCGATCTTACAATGCTATCTACCCGTTTAAGCGACAAAGTCGAAGATCGTTCTGGTCAATGTGCACTATGTACCTAAACCACTTGCTCGTAGGGAGTATACTCAATGGGAGCACAGCACACGATATTTCAAGTGAAAATAATTCGTAGCTCGGGCTGATAAGTTAAAAGTATCCCCCTGTTCATCTTCGTGACCCGTGAAACGAGCGTCAATACCCTGCAAATTCGATCGCACAATCCTTAGTGTGTGTGGCTCGCCACAGAAACACGCGCTTCTCCTCAGAATTAACTGCCTTCAGCTATTTGTTCCCTGTGCATTTGAGGTTATCTATTGCGTTAGGGTGCTGGAGTAACACCAACGCATGCTAAGCTAATGTCGAGGATACTGCAAAACCCTCAAGTCGAAGTCCAATTGGATTCCGGGACGCGTGTCAAGTATCAGTCAGCTGCGCTTACATTGGATTTTGGTGGCATTGAACAAGGTAGATAAACAAATATACCTCAGTGCAAATAGGGCGAAGAAACCGATCGTGATCTCCGTTCAATTGTTTGCTCGATTGCAAGTTTGTCTCCGTATTTTGGCGCACCTGTTATGTATGGATGCGCAGTACGTTAAAGTTTGATTTCTTGCATGCAATAAAATGAGAGTGGCTGTGAAGTTCAACAATAGAGTCGTCATTTGAGATCCCTGCTCTCTTTTCGCGAAGAGGGTGAGTGAATACAGTGTGACAGCGCTTTGAACGGGCCAAAGATTGTTGATGCTCTCTGGTTGTGAAGATACGTACAGGAACACAGTTATGAACGCTTTGTACGTTGCTTAATTGACGGCGTTCGAAATTACGGAGCCATGGATATATAGGCCTCAATGTTGCAGAATTGAATCCGGATCCTATTTGCCAGGCTGATTATCTGGTTAAGGCCAAGGTGAAATCGGTCGGACGCGTCTACGACTCGTCGAGATTTATACCTGTCCGCGCTCTCCTGCGAGGACCTAAACTTTTTGTATTGCGCGAGGGATCTGCCTCTCGCGTATAAATTCCCTCCCACGACTTAATTCTCACACACTAACGGGCTGTACCGTTATTTCACTCCGATATTCGGTTGGGCTCTGACATTACCATTGACGACATGCGGGGGATATTACCCCGCGCATGGCAGGCCGAGTGTGGACGTGCGGGGGCATAATATCCCGCACATTACACTATTTTTTTCGCGCACGCCTGTTCCCTTCTGGAAGTTCTTGTATATGCGAATGGAGAAACCTGTGGACTAGCTAATAACTAAAATGGTCATAGATGGTACGTTATGCTTCAATTTACGAGTGAGGATTTCTGAACCCTTTCGACAATGTCAGCTTAATAAAATTTTTTCGGTACTTTTTCTTTCTATGAATGGAAGGCCTTTAAATGAGTGTAGAGAAGTAGTACGGTCTTAGTAAGATGACATTATTGTGTTTTGATTAACATAATCAACTTAAAGGATTGCCTTTGAAGTTCTGCAGCTTTGTGTCGGAAGAAGAATACAGTTTTTCATGTGATTCTAGTCTTTCAATAGTATTCCGCTGAACACTGTTACTCCGGAGTAGTTGTTGACTCTTACCATATATTGATTCGAAGCTGTGTATTTGATCAGATTATGTATGTTCTTTATCACTCAAAATTTGCACTGAAAACTGAGGCGGCGGCGGGCTCCTCGAACGCCGTTGGTCACCCAGATGCGAAGTGCCCAAACTCGCTTGGTTTTTTTTTTTTTTCAGCGTCAACGTGTTAAATCGCTTGCCACATTGCCGGCCTCGTTTTGTTGTAAGATAAAGGTCCACTCAATGCCAGAGACATGGTTTTTCAAAACAATGGGGTGAGGCGCAATAAGTGGAATTGCACTGATTCAGTGGACATAGAGACAGTTGGCTGTTTCCTCAGTTTTAGCGAAAGCGGGCAGTGGACCTTTCCGCTCAAAGGGTGGAACCAACGATGAGTTTATTACTCGCACTGTTCTGATCTTCTCGAGCGGTTTCTGACACGATGTCGAAACCGCTAGAGTTGATGAGGCGCTTGGTGATGTAAAGCGTAAGTCTAACGCTTGAAACACGTTCAGCCTCTGAAGAAGACGATTCAGTTGAAACGTTAGGCCGTTCATAAATAAATGTTCCACCGAACAACCTCGTAAGGCACAAGAAACTTATCAAACTGAATTCAGTACTTTTTGCGACCTCGTTTAATTGAAAGAACACTAATTAGCTATATAAGTTTAGAGCCAATCAGCTATTGAAGCTATGGAGAAACTCGACTGGGGCATGGATTGGCGTGATGCCATCGAACGGACGTACGGACGAGTTTACCCCGTTGTCTCAGTCTTGCCCGCCTGCGAGCTGATCAAAGCCAGACAAGGGGCTCTCACTTTGCATTTTGTTGGCGGATTTATCTGCCTTCTTCGCCACTGGCGTGCTATTGAGAAACATCATGTCCCCTCTAAACTCTTCCAGAACCTGGCGCAACCGCTACCCTCAGGCAGGAGGTGGTGGCACTGTTCCGACTCGAAAGTGGCTGGCGATTAGGGAGGAAGGGGGCTAAGAGCTTACAGTTCATATCATAGCCGTTTGGTTAAGCGGGTTTGACGTCGCGGCCGCTGCACTTGACAGAAACCGTGCAGATAGCCTGTTTCCAGATGTCCTGCCATTCCATCAAAGTGTGTTGGAAGCAGCTTATCCACACGTCTTCTAGCAAGTGCTGCGGCCGCCAATCAAGTCCGTAGGCCTGCCTAATCCGACGGCTAGATGGACTTTACGTTGAGCGTTGTCACTTTTACTCGTTTGCAGCATACGCTATGCCTGCACTCTCCTGTACGATGTGCTCCCTCGCGTATTCTCTTTCCTCCCAGCGTTATGTCTCTCCGACACCCCACAGTCGTGCTCATCAAAATAGGAAGTCCTCAATTTCAGTGCTTTCTGTGGATCATGTTGCTTTGTTGTTGTGAGCAGTGATCCGTAGTGTGGAATTTCAGGTCTCACCCCCTCAGGGCGGTTTCTTGCACATGTTCTCCAGTGACGGTCTCCTTCACGCTTAACTGAGCAAAACCTTGTAAGGAAAGGGGCACCAACGATAAGCATTTGCCACAGTTCCTGCAGAGTGGAGGCTGCCAGAAGTGGAGCTTGAAAGGATGCATGGAGTAACTCGTGATGAATCAATACCGATCTCATGTATTGTTAAAAAATGAGGTACCCACCCCGCTTCGTTTCACTCGTCGAGCTCGATCCTGCTCGTATAGCCTACCAGCACGTGGTGGCGCTTCTATGCTGCTATCCTGGAACTCAAAAACGTTTATGGTCATCTATCTGCTCGGCTAAGTGACAAACCTCAGAAACAGGAACGGTTTTGACTTTACGAAGAGTTTTCGTGGAAGCAGCGACAGCACGAGCAGGCTCTTCAATAACCGCGCCTAAATCAAGTACATCTTTAAGTAGATTATTACTTGGTCCGACTCCACTAATTTTACCCGTTGCTTGAGCGCCGGGTTGACAATGTAGGGCATCATGACGTTTAGCACGTTTTCCCAGCATTATTCGCTTCCGACACGGGCAAGTGGGACAGGCTCTGAATAGTTATAGGTTGTCTTAAAGGGAGGTCTAATAAGCTGACGCAATAGGAGGGTTGAAGGATATGACTGACAAAAGACTGACAGAAAGCTTCTCGCTTGGAGGTGGAACGCTGAGAAGCGGCAAAGGACGAGTATGAGAGGGAGTAGAACTTATGGAAGAAGCTGGGGGAGGAAGGTGGAGTGAAAGAAAAGAAGAAAGGAAACCTCCCTGCTGTTGATATATACCCTGTCGATCGGACTAACCGTAAGAATCCTCAAAGGCTTACCTTAGGCACGGAGGTACTGTTGCCAGGCATCCCACGTTGGGCAGCGGAATCGCAGGGCAGCAGGGAAGAGGTGGTGGCTGAGGTGGACAGCATGGCTTTCCTTGAGCGCAGCACGACGGATTCTGATAGTAGCAGCAAGGTCGAGCGCAGCCGCAGTCTAAATATCGGTTCTATAACCCCTAAACTTCCTTACTCATAGAACTATTTCTTACCTCCAAGCGGACACTGATTGCAAGGCATTCTTGGTTTTGGCTCTTCGCCACAGCATGGCGTAGGCGGCTCTGGCGGTGGTGGAGGAGGTGGCGGTGGAGGTGGAGGTGCAGGAGGAACTTGGGGAGGACAACAAGATCGAGGTGGAGTTCCTTGTGGCTGAAATGATCTCCAGAAGCGATCAGGTTCTCTCCATTCAAGCATGGGCCGAAATTCTTGAAAATCTCTTCTAATTCTCTCCGTTTTAATCATGATTACCTTATGAGCTTTTTTTTCATTATCAGACTTCACTGGTCATGCGCAACTTGGAGAACAGCCAACTGAATCGCATATTCACATCCAAACAAAAATGCTTACCGCTCCTACTCCCTCCTCACGCGGTTGTTCGTATTCTTCTTCCTCCTCTTCGAACTCCGGTCGTTGTCCTCTGAAATAGAGGTCTTTTCAAAATAGGCTAGAGAACCTAAAGTTCCCAAAAAAAGGCACCTGTCAAAAAAAGTCGACTCTTATGTAGACATAAAGAACACCTACGAAAAGTCGGGTTCACTTTTTCTGCATATGCAAAGAAACTTTGCTTGCAGGAAGCGATTAGGGAGCACAGGGGAAGTATATGAGACGCACAGAGCAGTTACATGCCCTTCAAGGATTTGAGGTCTGCCGTTTTCACGACGAACGGTACGCTGGTTGCTGAGCAGGACTACGAAAGCACTCACCCCAAATGCGATCCACCCACTAGCTTGCTCGAGGGTTCGGTCGGGCTATTTTGCCCCAGCAGCGCCACAACTGGATCAATTGGTCTGGCATGGTGAGTAAATGATTCGTTTCTATGTCCACCGTCTTAGCCGCTGCCCATCTTGACAGAAGACAAACAGCCAAACAAGGAGATTCTGTGAACGTCTCTACTTGGCGGTTTCTCTGCTTTTCTCGCCATTAGCGTATAAATGAGGCGCGTCCACGCCCCTGTAAACCTTCTGAACGCTCAAGAAAGAGCTGTTCCCTTGAAGGCAACCTCCAGGATAAAATGATGGTGCAATGAGTGTTTTTGATGTGGTATCCGAAAAAAAAGAAAGGAAAAGAAACCGCGGTGAGCGATGGAGGAATGGTTGCAAGTCAGTACGATTATCGCTCCTGCCGTGCATTTGGGCAAAAGAGGTGGCAAGCGACTCTGTAGGTACCCACACGTTCATCTCGCGACGTGGTCCTACAGTGGATCTCCATATCAGGGCTTGCCTTGAACTAAACCAATCTTAAAATTCAAGTGTATAAATAAATTCGAATTCGGATGAGTGAAAATATATGTCGCTTTCAGAAAGGCGCTGAGCGCCGTTGGGGGCTGAGGGATGAGATGTGGCGTTTTTACGACGAAGTGCATTACTCCCCAGCGACCTGGTGGACGTAGTATCTGTGTTACTTTTCGGTAGCTCTCGCCTTCCAAGCTGTCCGATCTCGGGCTCAGCTCAGTCTGAGGCGAGGAAGACGTAGAAGTTCGGTTCAAGCAAGCAGCAGGCAAAGGTCACTGCCCTGTCGTGAAACCCGGAATTCCATGATCACCTGCGGCCATCGCGGGCAAAAAAATGGCCCATTACGCCGTCTCAATCAAGGGTCAACCGTGCCATATTCTAAGAATCCATCCTTTGTGTTAAGTTATTCTCGCTCCCACTTGTATCAAACTATATCGCCTCTCTGCCCCCCCCCCTTGACTACTTCTGTCTTTTTGCATATCTTTAGCCCACAATGAGTCACCGCAGTGGCGTGGTCCGCCACCGACATAGAGAGAGATGGGGCATGAGAAAGCAGGGTCATCCCTGCGTTGCGCCAGAATTCTAAGTTTTTACGACCCCCTGCCTTTCGGGGTTGTCGGTACGACCCCCCCCCCCATAATTAACTAATCATGTCTTTCGACATAATTTAATGCCTCATACAATGCTCATCAAATTATGGCAAGTCAACCAACATGGAGAAGTGTTGGACCGTCGGTCAACGACCGCGCGCTTTGTCTCACTCAGTAGAGACATCGAGGCAAATGAAAGTTGTTATTACATCAAATAGAAAGTAATTTCCAAACATTCTGCATAAACCAATACTTTATTTAATCGTACAGATTCTAACTTTCAGACACGCAGCAAGTTTTTTTTTCGATGCTTCATCAATTTTTCCTTCCCTTATAATCTGAAACTGAACCTGTAGCAATTACATTTGCAATCCAAACCCTCTCCATCGAAGGTTATATTTTCTTTCAGAAGCTGTTTCATGAAATCGGACAACGAAAATTAGAAATCATACAATAGGTTTCTTCCTAGGAGTATTGAAATGTTTGGATGTTCAATATTTCGAAGAAATCGTCCCGTTGTTGCCGTTTATGGAAGGTTTTTTGGAGTCCGACTTTTGAGTAAGGCGCTCGAGTTTTTCGACATTCAGACGTTAATAACTTTCTTCATACTCAACCTTTTCAGACGTCTAGGGCTTAATAGAACTAGAAGATTAGAGCTTTTGATCAGGTGCTCTCTCGAATAATACAACCGCTCCTCCAGTTGTTCCGTGTATTCTCACCTTGTTTTTTTCCCAGCCCATTTTTCCTGGACCGCGACTATCATGTCTTCAAAGAAAAATAACTTCCGTTCAAATTAATGCGATGAGAAGCGGGTAAGATTGTTGAAGATCCTCGAATAGTACTTCATAAAAACCGTGAAATTTCCTAAATTCCTTCTTCCTGCCTCAATTTCCTACGCGGCGCCTTTAGAACTCATCAAGCGTGTCGCGTACAGCTTTGTTTCGCTAGATTTATTTGAAAGTATCGAAACTCTCTCAGAAAGTTTGCCTCTGCTCGCGTCACCGCTTCGCTACCAGAGGCCGGCGTTTTTAATAGTGAAAACGCCTCGGTAGCGCCGTGCACCCTATCTGTGGGCAGAGTTCGCATCGCCCCCGCATTTAAAGTCTTCTGTTCTGAGAAGGTTGTAGTATGCGATTGAGTTGCATGTGCTGTTATATGCACTATGTTTCACTTTTCATTCGAACTGCTCTACACGACTTTGTTCTCGTCTTCCGTTCCGGGGATTTCAGGAAGTTACACGTCATCGAAGACAGACCAATGTTTTGCATTACCACTGTAACATCGTTTTTTGCTATTGTCTATTGTCTCTTCGATATATCGCCGCGAGTAAAGCGGCCCCCCGTCGCCGCCGTCCCGGGTAGCGTCGCTTATAGGATAATAAGCTGCTGGTGGACTTAATATGCCTGCCATGCTTGAATGCTCCCATGGAGCCATGTCTGTTTTGACTCTCGAACAGCGTGCAGAGCTCCCTGGGAAAAAAAAGAACACTAGAGGGTGAAAGTCACCTCCCGGGACACCCACTTTTCAAGCCGTCTTGCAGCCCGTCTGTGATACGACCCCTCTTCGTCGGGTCCCTGCAATACGAAACCCTCGTTGCTCTTCTGCGCACGCAGGGTTTATTCCTCTGGTGAGAAGTCGCGTTAACTTGGACATTGTGCGCTTGTTTCACCTCAGAGCAGAGGAAGGGAATAAAGGCGACATGTTTTCACCTCTAAAAAGAGAATTTCTGACATTCCACCATAAGAGCTGATTATGCTTGTTCCCACTGAGAACACTACTTCCAGAACAGTTTTTTCAAACTTCCAAATCTCCCTTTTTATGAACTCAAAAACTAGACTTCCAAGTGACTACGAACCTCTTGCCTTAATGGATTACATAGGTAAGTATAAGTTTGTTACGTCTACAAAAGCAACACGGGGAAAAAGGAACAATTGAGTATCTCTATGCATTTAATAAGAGTGTGTTCATGAAAAAAGGTACAGTATAAAAATAGTTAAATCACGGATCAATTTGCGTGCGTTTCTTTTTCTATGTTTTTTTTCTTTATGGTGATATTTTTATTTGATTTTTTTAATTTTTTGATTTTTTTTCATTAGTGATAACGCGATTGAACAAAAACGTATTTCCTCAATTGTATTTGTGACGGAACATGGCAATTAAGAAAAATTGAATTGTTCCTCCCCCCCCCCTCCCCAAAAAGTGCTTGAACTGTCGCGAAGGCTCAATTCCTCGAAAAATCGCCACTTTCTTCCATTTATTTGTGCGGATATCAGTTCTCAAAATTGATGCGGTCATAACACCTTCATTAACAACATTTTGCAGTTCTCTAAGGCTAAAAAGAAACTACGAAACTAGAGCTCCTGGAAACGGACTGGAATTTTTGAGGAGCTACTTTTTCAGAGAATCGCTCCGCTGTTCCTTTCTTCTCCATCACTTTTTCGCCATTCTACTGAACTGGGTTTTGATCTTCAAACGCCCATAAGTTCTTCGGAATTGGTGCGATGGTAAACGGTTATAACCATTAAAAAGTAAACGATCAGTGCTTTGTATTGTGTTGACTTTCCGTGAAAAGCTTTTAAACAAAATCTCTCTTTTGCCAGAAGTTTCTATTAGGACTCTGGAAGTCAATCTGCCGAATATGCTGCATTTTCCTCAGGTTTGATTTCGTCTGAAGCATCGTAATTCCACGGGAAGAATCTTTGCTCATACTCACTGGAACACGAAGTGTTTCAGTAGCACTCCTGCCCTGGATGCGCCATGTACTCGCCTGTAGGCACTAGATACAAAGCTATTTGAAATGTACTCCTTCACCACTTTGTATGCCTTGAAACCTTCAACTTCTATGCTTAACGCCTAACATACGCCCTCCCCCTCGTTGGTCTTTGCACAACGGACGCTTGACCCTGGTCTCAGGTCGTTCCACTTGGTTTTTTCCTCACCACTACACAATTTAGCACCTTGACTTCGCATTTTACTAGCGACCATTTTACCGCATTATTTGTTTCAACTGGTTCCACAAGACCAAACGATAGTTCGGGAATTCCTCCTATGTCGTCCTTTATCAGAATCACAGGCATTTTGTGGACAGACACTGACAACCCCACAATGAATATAAATACAATGTGCACAGTTACCTGCAGCATGGATTGGGGCAGCACATTTGCGTTTGCAGGACAGCAAGTCCGGAGGCGCCGTTGAC